ATATATATATATTATACTTTAGAGTTTACAAGTGCTAAAATGCTAGTTTAGATAGAAAGGAATGAATATTAATTAATTGATTTTTTTAGAGAAATTAATTAATTAAATAATGAATTAATTGATTGAATTAACTAATAAGACAATTATAAATTTTATTTAAATATGCATAAATAATCAATTAACAAAAATATCTAGTTATAAATATATTTTTTTAAAAAAATTATAATTTACAGAAATTAAAATTAAAACTTGTTAATTTTGTAAAGATTAAAGGTATATTTAAATCTTAAAGGAATATAAAAAATTATATATTCAAGGAGACAAGAGATTAAATTAATATAAAAGGTTGAGATGAATAATATTTAAATTTTAAAAATAAAAATATATATTTTATTTTGATAGAGTTATAACATGATAGAAAATATATTATTCATTTAATATTAAAAATACAAAAGATAGTTGCGCATTATAAGGATGAAGTTATAATTGATAATTGAGTTATTTATTTTTTAAAATAGTGTAAAATAACTAAATTGAGCTTTTACTGATGAGCTACATACGAGATATGATTGCGTTTCTATAAATGCGCTAATAAGACTATGGTTGTCTTACTTTACTCATTAACAAGTGCATATCGTGATCTGGGAAAGATGGAGAACAAAAGTAAGAAAAGATCTTAAAAATCCAAACCAAAAGTTTAGCATTAATTAAGGGAAGAGGAGTGAGAACCTTACTCTAGATATTATCTAATGGAATCCCATTGTATATGTTCAACTGTGCGAGGGATTAACTTTAAAAACTAATAATAATTACTCATAATTAAGAAAAAAAACTAATTTGTTATTTATAATTAGAACTAAAGATAATAAGATACAAAATAAATTTCACTAATAATTCCATTTTTTATCTCATAAAATTGAAAAAATGTGATAAAAATAAAAACTAAAAATATAAATTAATCTAAAAATTAATTATTTTATCATTTATTCAATATTAAGTTTTGACTAATGTTACAATAGAGAATTTTTTACTCAAATAATATATTTTAAAAAAAAATTACTCAAATAGCAACTTTGTAAATTTATTTCTCCAACTAGCACTATTTACTGTTCACTTTTCTTTTAATTTTTTTCGCGCGTTTGGAACGGCTCGTTCTGCAACCAGAACGGACCGTTCTAAACTAGGTTTTTAGGCCATTTTAGAAGTTTAGAATGAGCCGTTCTGATTTTGAAATGACCCATTATGGGAAAGAGGGGAATGTTATATTCAAAATGTTATTTTGGACCTTTAAACCATGCATTGATGTTTTGCCTTCTGCAAACCAATTGTTCAAGTTGATGGAACCTTTTTATACGGCAAATACAAAGGTACGTTATTGGTCACAGTTGCGCAAGATGGTCGCAACAACATAATTCCTATTGCATTTGCTGTTGTTGAAGGTGAAACTAGCGATGCATGATTTTTTTTCTTAAGAACTTAAGGCGGTATGTAAACACCGCAAGACGAGTTGTGCCTAATTTCTGATCGTCATGAGGCTATTCGAAGTGCATACTCAAGAAATGGAAGTGGTTGGATAGAAAATAATTTTGTTCATGTCTATTGTATTCGACACACTGCACAAAACTTCATGCGACGATTCAAAAATGCAGCACTAAAGAAGGATGTCGTCAACATGAGTAATTTTATCATTACTTATGTTTTAAACATTTAATAATTAGTTTTCATTATTTTTTTTTCAGCCTATGAGATGATTGAACCTAGATTCTTTTACTATTACAACATAATAAGAGATATTAATCTGAAGCAGCCCAATGACTAGACAACATTTCTAGGGAAAAAAGGACACTAGCATGGGACAATGGACGACGTTGGGGACACATGACAACAAACTTAGCTGAGTATATTAATTCTGTATTGAAGAAAACACGAAATCTACCAATTTGTTCCATGGTAATGGCCACATACACTCGTTGCAACAAGTTTTTCATTCAAAGAGGCAGGCTAGATGAAATGTGGTGTGATTGTGACAAGTTCTAGAAAGTTCATATCCCTTATTCGCTTCATGCTTACATGCACATCACAACTATGAAACCTACATGTATCCCATATATACCTTGCAACAAGTTGCAAAGGTATACGAAGGATTAGAACAAAGATAGATATTAGAGAACAACATAGTCGTGTAAAAAATTGTTCCTATTGTCACACTTTTGGTCACATTAGGAAGACATGTCCAAATATTGGTCATGGATTTAGTTCCCGTCACCATTGATTTTATTGTTGTAATGAGTTTTAATAACTTTATTTAGTTATATTTATAATGTTAATATTCAATAAATTTAATTACTTAATGTTACTCTTTGAGACTACGTTGTGTTTGTGTTGAAAGGGTAATTTGTGTTCGCTGCAATGCTAAGTTTGAAGCTAGATTTAAAGGAAACACCTTTAAAGTATGAAACTATAGTATCTTAAACTTAAAAATACGAGATGATAATAATGAGACCTTGTCTTAATAGATTCAAAACTTATACAAGTCAAACTGTGACTGATAATGAAAACTATGGATAACTTGTACATCACACTACGAAAACATGTCCAAATAATGTATAATTATAATAGTTTATAAGCTAAACATTAAAATTCATATTACATTGAGAAAAAAAAAGCATAATGCATAAATTGGCCAGAAGGGATTGTTCTAAAAGCTGAACGGCCTGTTCCAAACTACAAAAGGGCTAAAATCCCTAGCTTAGAACGGGTCATTCCAAAATTTAGGTTATGTGAAAAATTCGACTCTAGAACGACCTGTTTTGGTTTAAGAATGGACCGTTCTAGATGCAAAAATAACACTACAAGACTGCATGCAGAACGGGCCGTTCTGGTTGCAGAACGGGCCGTTCCAGATGCAAAATTTCCAGATAACTTGGACCTACAACGAATTTTTTTATAAAAAAATACGTAAATAATAAATAGTGCTAGTTAGGTAAATAAATTTGCACAGTTACTATTTGGGTAAATATTTTTTAAAAATATATTATTTGAATAAAAAGTTCTACGATAGATGGACATTAAAAGAAATTAAAATTGTAAATTTTATAAAATTGAGGATACAAATTACATAATTAAAAATAATAAAAAGAGGAATTTAATATTACAGTGTAGCAAAAGACAAAAGTAGAGTTAAACGTTTTATTTATTATTTTCAGTCTAGAATCATTATGACCTGGTAATCTGGTAGCCTACTAAGAAGGCGAGACATGCTCGTACTAAAAGGAGTGCATTATGCAGAGTGTGTTGGATTGATTGATTGATTAACAACATAAGTACGAATCGATCGGATTGAAGATGCCTTTGTCATTCAGCCTCGTGGCCGTGTACAGCCGCTTCATCCGGCGCTGCTTCACCGGCGCAGGGCTGTGCTCGCAGGCCCTCAATGTGGACGACCAAACCACCATGCACTTCTGGGGGCCCAGAGACAAAACGGCCCAAAAGCCCTCCCTCCTTCTCCTCCACGGCTTTGGGCCTGAGGCCACATGGCAGTGGCGCCAACAGGTCCAATTCCTGGCCCCTCACTTCAACGTGTACGTTCCGGACCTAATATTCTTCGGAGGCTCCACCACCAAGTCCAGCGAGAGGAGCCAAGTGTTTCAAGCGGCATGTGTGGGGAAACTTATGGACAAATTGGAGGTGGAGAGGTTCCACGTGGCGGGCACCAGCTATGGGGGTATGGTGGCTTACAATTTGGCCCAAATGTTAGGGAAAGAGAAGGTGCAGAAAGTGGTCATTGCTAGCTCCGGTGTTAACATGACAAAGGCCAACAACGTGGCCCTGCTGCACAAGGCCCAATTGGACAAAATCGAGGACCTCATGGCTCCTACTACGCCGCAAAATATGCGAAAATTGATGTCGCTCTGCATTCACAAGCCTCCTCCTATGCTGCCCCATTTTTTACTCAGGGACTTCCTACATGTAACTTCTCGCTCTCTTTTATTTTCTTTTTATAGAATTATTTACACTTTTTTTTTCACTCATCTTTTATATATTTTATCATTAGTTAGATTGTTAAACATTGGTAGTTAATCTTTAGTATCAAATGCTGACCCATTAAAATGACATATCACTTTGTCATATTTGTGTCATATCAATAATTTATATCGACAATCAATTTATTATGTAAATAATTAATTAATGAAAGTTAACTAAAGACATGAAAAAATGTAAAGAATTTTAAAAGTTTATTAGTAAAATGTGTAATTTTAAAAATTAAATAAGTAAATTGGTTTAAATTTAAAAGATGAGTAGTAGAAAAAAAAATGTAATTAAGTCCTTTTTCTTTAAACTCATTTTTCACATCATACCATGTCCTGTTTTAAAATATTTTGAAAATTAAAAAATAGCATTAAAATGAGGAATTCTATATTTTCTCTTAATACGTTATTTTCTTTTATATTCTTATATAGAAATTATACGCAGAAAATAGGAAGGAAAAATTGGAGCTTTTAGAAGGGTTAACCATTGGAAGGGACGATACTTCAAACGTTTCACCTCTTCAACAGGTAAGCACAGTGTATACTCACATGCATAAACCTCACACTTACTAAGTATTAGCAAATAAATAAAATATGATATTTGATTGTTACGGTGTCTGATTTTTATTTATCATACTCAGGAGGTTCTCATACTCTGGGGGGAACAAGACAAGATATTTCCTGTGCAATTGGCCCATGAACTTAAAGAGTATGTTTCTAAAATTCTAGTAGTGTACATGCCTGTGTTTTTCCCTTAATTTTTTTTTTCCTTTTATGTGCCAAATCCAAATAACATATATTAAATTTTATAATTTTGATATAATTACACTTTTACTCTCCTCCTTAGTTTAACGTAGAAGTAATTTTGATTCTCATGATTTTAATCGTTAAATTTTGGTCAGCACATCTTAAAAATGGACAATTTTAGTTTTATTATTTACTATCACCATGTAATTTTACACTATATAAACTTTTTACGAGGTAGACTTCTTTTTCATTCATATATATATATATATATATATAAAGTTCAATTTTTGTTATTTTTTAAAAAACATCAATTGTAGTTTTTTTTATAAAAAAAAAATTGGGTCAAATTTTTATCTTTGATACTAATTTTTGATGCTCTGATAGCATCACCATTTTTTTTTGGGACTTTAAATCGATAAAACTTAACACATTTAAGAAAAAAGACCAATAGTCGGTTTTTTAAAAATGGGATACTAAAAATGATTTTTTTTTTACATATTTATGAAGATAAAAAAATGTTTAATCTACCTTTTTTTATCAATAAAAAAATTGTAAAGACAATAACAATAATGGAACTTAACATTTATGCATAGTTCCATAATTCCTATTGGTCCACGTCACAAAAACATTTGATGTAGCATTAATTATTTATTATTTTGATTAATTAAATTATTTAATATGAACATTAATTGATTTAATGCAAAATTTTAAATTATTTAATGTTTAGTGATTTATTAAATATGTTAATAAAATATTAAATAATTGAACTTTTAAAAAGATAAATAAATAAATAATGCTACGTTACATATTTATGTGACATAAATTGTCTAATTTAGTAAAATTTAACCCATTAAAATGATAACATCATCATAGATTGTGAAATGGTCAGAATCGCGGGTCTTCTTTCTCTTTCCGGAGATATTGGTATAAAGTCGTGCTCTCAAGATTAGGAGGAATTGTTGCATTCTAATTATGAATGTTTTGCAGGGTAATTAGTGAGAAGGCAAGACTGGAATTGATAAAGGATACATCCCATGTGCCTCAAATGGAAAAGCCAGAAGAATTCAACAAAATTCTCCTAAGTTTCTTACAGGAGGAGTCTTCTTGATGTCGAGTATTTTTCAGTTAGCATTGTTGTATACATTAATTGGATACATTATTATCTTTTATATATGAAAATAAACCTGTTCTTACCGGAAATCTGCTGTAGAGCTGATCCGTCCAGTAAGATCGATGAGCCTCATTTGCTGGGTGTATTGGTTTTATGTACTTTCCTTCTGCTCCATGTTAAGATCAATTAAAATTTTTCTCAACCACAAGGCTTGGTTAACAGCAGCTGTAGCAGCAACAAACTCAGCTTCTGCTGTAGACTGTGCAACAATTTCTTGTTTCTTCGAGCTCCATGAGAAAACACTCGATCCAAAGCTAAAACAGTACCCTAAAGTACTCTTCATATCATCAATTGAACCACCCCAATCACTATCTGAGAAACCTGTTAACTTAAATTATTCAGTCCACTTGAACTTGATGCCAAAATTGCAAGTGCCTTTGACATATCTAATCACCCTTTTTGCAGCCTTGAAATGCATTTCACTTGGGCAATGCATAAACTGGGATAAAATGCTTACAGCATTTAAGATGTCAGGCCGAGTTGCTGTAAGATACATCAAACACCCAACCATGCTTCTGAAATATGCTTGATCTATCTTCTCAGTTCCATCTTCCTTGCATAGCTTTTCCTTTTGATTCATTAGGGTGTTCATTTCTTTGCATTCTTCAAGTTTAAACTTCTTCAAAATCTCCTTGCTTTGCTCTAAATCCATTGGAGGAGGAGCAGGTTGTTTTTTCTTTGAAGGAGAATGTCACAGAAATCTGGCACAAGAGACTCGGGCACTATCATCATCAAGGACTACTGCAAATGAGTGAAAAAGGGCTAGCACTTGATATTCCGGTGCTTGAGGATCAAACTTCAAACTGCAAAGCTTGTCAATTTGGCAAGCAAAACAGAAAACCTTTTTCAAAAACAGCATGGAGAGCATCAAGGAAGCTGCAATTAATTCACACAGATGTTGCAAGGCCGCAAAGAACACCTTCATTGAAAGGTAATCTTTATTATGTTCTCTTCATTGATGACTTTACTAGAATGTGTTGGATTTTTTTCTTCAAGAACAAATCAGAGGTGGCTGGAATCTTTTGGAAGTTCAAAGCCAAGGTTGAGAACGAAATTGGTTTCAAAATTCAGATTTTGAGGTCAGACAATGGCACTGAGTACACATCTAAAAAATTCAATCAATTTTGTGAGGATTCCGGCATCGAACATCAACTAACCGCTCCCTATACCCCACAACAAAATGGGGTTAGTGAGAGGAGAAACCGATACATCTTGGAGATGACGAGATGCATGCTATATGAGAAGAATTTACCAAAAGAATTTTGGGCAGAGGCAGCAAGTACAAATACTTCTCTTCAGAATAGACTTCCCACCAAAGCATTGAACGATCAAACACCATTTGAGGTTTGGCATGGTTACAAACCATCTATGAAATTTCTTAAAATATTTGGTTGTTTGTGCTTTACTCATGTTCCACAGAGCAAGCGAGATAAGCTGGATAAAAGAGCATCACAGGGTATCTTTATAGGCTACAGTACAGTCAGCAAAGCCTATAAAATCTTTTAGTCGCAAACCGGGAAAATAATTATTAGCAGGGATGTTCACTTTCTGGAAGATGAAGAATGGAATTGGGATGATAAAAGGAAGACAAATCTGGTTTCTACAGATGTGAAGTTCAAGTCTTTAGCCTCAAACACAAGACAAATTGAAGATGAAAGCTGACAAAATGAATTACTAGATGATGATCCAGTAAGAGGTACCAGATTGCTATCCGAAATTTATGAAAGATGCAATATTTCTGTGTGTGAACCTGCAGATTATGAAGAAGCAAAGAAAAGTCCAAATTGGAGGGCTGCAATGAAGGAGGAATTGTCAATGATCGAGAAAAACCAAACCTGGATTCTTGTGGAAAAACCTCATGGTAGAAAAATAATTGGGGTCAAGTGGGTGTATAGAACTAAATTAAATGCTGACGGTTCTATCAACAAACACAAGGCAAGACTCGTAGTGAAAGGTTATGCACATATTTTTGGTGTAGACTACTCAGATACGTTTGCACCAGTTGCTCGATTAGACACCATTAGGCTGTTACTTGCTATAGCTGCTCAAAGGAATTGGAAGGTTTATCAACTTGATGTTAAATAAGCTTTTTTAAATGGTTTTTTGCAAGAAGAAATATATGTTGAACAACCCCAAGGCTTTGTGAAGGAAGGAGAAGAAGATAAGGTTTATTTACTTAAAAAGGCTCTTTATGGGCTGAAACAAGCCCCAAGATCCTGGTACAGTAGAATTGATGATCATTTGTTGAACTTGGGATTTTTCAAAAGCTTAGCTGAATCAACACTGTATGTTAAGCATGACAGAGCTGACATTCTTATCATCTCACTCTATGTTGATGACCTCTTTGTAACAGGAAGCAACACAAGGCTTGTAGAGAAGCTTAAGAAAGAAATGATGGAGGTGTTTGAGATGACAGACCTTGGTTTAATGACCTTCTTTCTTGGCATGGAGATCAAACAAGGAGAACATGAAGTCTTCATTTGTCAAAAGAAATATGCCAAGGAGATTTTGAAGAAGTTTAAACTTGAAGAATGCAAAGAAATGAACACCCTAATGAATCAAAAGGAAAAGCTATGCAAGGAAGATGGAACTGAGAAGATAGATCAAGCATATTTCAGAAGCATGGTTGGGTGTTTGATGTATCTTACAGCAACTCGGCCTGACATCTTAAATGCTGTAAGCATTTTATCCCAGTTTATGCATTGCCCAAGTGAAATGCATTTCAAGGCTGCAAAAAGGGTGATTAGATATGTCAAAGGCACTTGCAATTTTGGCATCAAGTTCAAGTGGACTGAATAATTTAAGTTAACAGGTTTCTCAGATAGTGATTGGGGTGGTTCAATTGATGATATGAAGAGTACTTTAGGGTACTGTTTTAGCTTTGGATCGAGTGTTTTCTCATGGAGCTCGAAGAAACAAGAAATTGTTGCACAGTCTACAGCAGAAGCTGAGTTTGTTGCTGCTACAGCTGCTGTTAACCAAGCCTTGTGGTTGAGAAAAATTTTAATTGATCTTAACATGGAGCAGAAGGAAAGTACATAAGTTTTTGTTGACAACCAAGCTGCAATAGCTATTTCCCATAATCCTGTCTTTCATGGGAAAACCAAGCATTTCAACATTAAGTTGTTCTTCTTAAGAGAGGTACAGAAAGATGGAGCTATTGTTCTTGTTTATTGCAAAACTGAAGACTAGGTTGCAGATTTGTTCACCAAACCACTTCGGTCAACAAGTTCGAGTTCTTAAGACAGAAGATTGGAGTTTGCAGTTCCAAAATCGAGGAGGAGTGTTAGATATTTGTTTTTGAACTGCACGTGACCCCTTTATTTGTTGCACATGGCATCTTTATTTGGTTTATCTTTATTGTTTCTGTTGATTGAATAAGTCTTTACTGTTCCTAAACTTTAGGAGAAAGCATTTCAGTTTTTACTGTTCCTAAACTTTAGGAGAAAGCATTTCAGTTTTATCTTAGTCAATTTTTTTGTTACTGTAAGTATTATAAATGTATGGCAATTGGCAGTCGAATAAAACAGATTTCCTACGATCTTATTCTTTAATTCCAACTTATATACTCTTCCTCCTTCAATATTTTATTATCTCTGTTTTTTGCTGCTGTCTTCATTCCTTAAAAACAACACTTTTTTTTTGTATTATTATATAATAGAGCCTCTTTTGTTGGTGATAACGAAACCTTAACTACTCAACTGTTATAGGCTTGGAGCTGATAAAAATAATTTATAAACAAGATTCACACTAAAGGAAAAATATTTGAGGATGGGAGAAACTAAACACAATAAGTTTCCTATAAGAGGAGATGAAAGTTCTTTATACGAGATGTCATAACATGATCAAATATATTTGTGTTCTATAATATAAACAAAAAGCAAAAGGTGATTCCCCCCTTCTTTTTTTTATAGATGTTTGAGCTAATTAAGGACTAATACTTTTCTTTTGGGTGTAAAGTGAAAGCTTAATTAATAAAGTGAGGACTAATGGTATTCTCACCTTTCTCTTTGATAATATTATTTTATTTTATTTTATTTATTTATTTACTTTTATAAAAAAATTGGTGAATTGATTCTTTTATTTATTTTTTTATAATTTTTTTTGATGAATTAATTCGGGTTCATTTGTTCTCAAGACTCAAGAAATAATTATAAATATTTATAAATTATTCATTAACAAAATTTTTACATTGAAAATAATAATAAAACTTACATCTTTATGAGATGATTATCAAATGAATTAACATCTATCGGCTTATTTATTCAATTTTCTCTTTCATAACACTATTTTTATAACATCGATTTCTTTTTTCTCTCCATGTCAATGTCCATGTTAAACGAAGTGTTGTAAAAAAATGGTGAGTTCATACGTGACATGTTTGTAAACAAAAAGTGTACCTCTAAAAGTGAAACAAAATCAAGTTACACAAGGCTTTTGAGCTAAGTAAATTTTTCTGTCAAATCATTGAGAGCATGAATGACTTAAATCAAAGCTATGTTGATTGTGTATAGTCATTGAAGTCGCGCAAAATTAGAGTTCGCATTTTCAACAGTTAGGAACTAACGATTGGGGAGTTCGATTACCCAACAAAAAGAAAAAGATTGAAGATTTCATTTACTGTGAAAAAAATTTAAGCTTTGTTTGGGAATGAAGAAGAATTGAGAGGAATGACAGAGAATAAGTGAGAATTGATTTTATAAAAAATAAGTAAAATATAATACAAAATTTGTAGAGTAAAATTAAGTGAGAAATAAATAAAAATTAGTATTTTAAAAATGTATTTTAGATAGTTAATTTTTTATGTAAAAATATATTATTTAAATAATTATATTTTTATTTTTTATTAACTAACTATTTAGATAATAATGTAGAGATAATCTTGTCTACGTATTTTTTTTAAGAAAAATTTAACAAAAATCTGTCTTTAAAAAAGTGAAATTAAATTCTCATAGATCCTACACAGTTTTTTTTTATTTTAAAATTTACTTAAATCATCTCCTTCAAATACACATTCTTTTTTAATTTCTTGCTTTCTTCTTCCTTTCCTACTAAATGACCTCTCCAAACAGACCATTAGTGTCAAAGGACAATGTTGACTTCGGGCCATGCATTGTCTGTCATCATATACGTTTACTGCTATGAACAATTTTTTAGTTTTGAATTTTGAAGAAGGGCTGTGTTTTTTTCAATTGCTTCTTGTTGTTGATGCTTGCCCCTTTGGCCTATGGTCGTTTCAAAACTTGTGTTGTTGTTTGCATGTTTTTATCTCTTTTAACCTTTTCACCAGTAACTTTTTCTACACTTAGGCTAAGGGTCTAATAAAATATGATTAGGCTGAAGTGTGTACTACTGATTAACTCTAGGCTGTAACAAAAAATTTAAATGTATTCATAAAAAAATTAGATGTATTTAGATAAGAACACTTCGTGTGTCTTTTGTCCATTAAGCGTAAAGAGGTTTGAAACTTTTTTTGATAAAGTTTATTTTATTTATATATCTTTTTACCTTTGAATTCTTCGTTTTCTTTATAGGACTGAGATTCGAAACTTGTTTCAGAAAGTTTGTTTATCTTTTAAAAAATAATTATTCTTTTCACAAAGTTTTTAAATCAGCGTGAGGCTGAGGATGTTGGTGATGAAGCTTAGGCTTCTATGTTGGGTTTTGCTCTGATAGGACATGTGACATCGGGACATAGATATGATTAGTTTAAGATGTTCTTATTAAATTATTTTGAAAAATTCAGTTTTATTTCTTTGTAATGTTACTGGCATGTTATTTGGATTAAGTTTATGAATGTGAACTCTTTACCCTTACGTGGTTGGAAATTTTATTTTTATTGATTTTTTTTATAACTACTGTATATGTATGTTGGGGTAGAGGGTGTAACAGTACCTTGTCTTTGTGGCCCTGTTCTGGTTTGGCGGGGCCCTTATCGCGAACCTGGTCGTGGAAGGCTGCGTGCTCCTCCATTTGAATGTAGTCGGCGGCGCGGGCGCGCAGTTCGTCCATATCGCGGGGGGCGTCGCGACACAGGCTATCGACGAACGATCCGGGTTTCAGTGCTATGAGCATGGCGTGTAGGGCGGCTTCCGGGTTTAGATTCTGGATTCGGACTGATATGTTAGAGAAGCGCTCCATGAAGGCCCGTAGGGGCTCGTCGTCGTTCTGTCTGAGGTTGGCCAAGGCGGCCGAGGTTGTGTGGTGAGGTCGGGTGGTGGCGTACTGTGCCGTTAACCGTCGCACCAGGGTGGCGAAACTGTCGATGGACCCTGCCGGCAGTTGGGTGTACCAATGGAGCGTGGGTTCTTTAAGCGAGGTCGGGAAAACCCTGCACAGTATAGCGTCACTGTTAGTGTAAAGGTTTACCTGAGTCGTGTACGCGTCGACGTGCTCATCGGGGTCCGTAGTGCCGTCGTAGCGGTCAAGGTGGAGGGGCTTCCACCCGCGGGGTAACGGAGTCTCCATGATGCCGTCCACAAAGGGATGATGGCGGAAAGGCTCTTGGCCCTTAGAGACATGAGTGGGGGCCTTGCTGGTGCCCTGCCCTGATCTGTGCGTTGATGCATGAGACTGGTGCGTGGCGGGCCGTGAATGTGGTGCCTTGGTGGTTGCTTGGGAATGGGAGGCTGAATGCGCCTCCTCCTCATGGTCACCGCTGTCGTGCGGTGGTTGGCCGAGGCGATGCCGGGGGATCTGGGCGCGGATGCGCTCGTTCTCGGCGCGTAGCGCCGCTAGGTCTGCTTCGTTAGCGGTGCGCATCGCCGCGAGGTCATTCTCATGCTGGACACGCATATTCTGGAGGTCGGCGTCGTGCTGTCGCCGCATCTGCTCGACTTGTTCGACCAATCGCCTCAGGGTCGCGGTGTCGCTGTCCATGGTAGTTGAATTGCTTGTGTTATCTGTTGCTCGTCTAATGTGGCTTCTGGTAGAAACCATGCAGGTGGCCGATGAGAGCTTGGTCTGATCGGCCCCACGGTGGGCGCCAAATGTTCTTACCGGAAATCTGCTGTAGAGCTGATCCGCCGGGTAAGATTGGTGAGCCTCCTTTGCTGGGTGTATTGGTGCTCCGAGATGGGGGAGGTACCTGCAAAAGAGACTCCGATGCTAAAGTTAGGGTTTGTATGAGTATGAGTCTCGTATATATAATGCACATACCTTGTATTGGTGCTCCAAGATGGGGGAGGTACCTGCAAAAGAGACTCCGATGCCAAAGTTAGGGTTTGCATGAGTAATAGTCTCATATATATAATGCACGTACCTTGAGGTGATCTAGGTTTGCCTTGGGCTTTTGGGCTTGAGATAAGATATATCATGATATGATATAATTGAAGGGCGGATCTGGTCTGGGACGAGATCCTCGAAATCAGGTATGATTCGCTCAAATGCCGGGCTGACGTCATGCACCGCGTGCCCGGGGTTACTTATTTGCAACACTAATCCGGGCTAGGAGCCCGGGTGCGAAGTACGGTTAGTACAAAACCTAATTTAATATTTAGAAGAAAAAGTTATGAAATAATTGTTTAAAATTTATTACTTGAATGGCTATTTAGTCTTTTCGAAGGTATAACTTTATAGAAGTAGTTACATAGCATGCATGTTAATTAATTGCGGTAACACGTATCTACTGATATTTAGAAATGAATTGCTTTGGAAACGTAAGGTTGAGATCATATGAAAATAAGTTGGTATAACAAAGTGTTTTTCATACTATAATAATAATAATCCGAGAGATGCTGGTAGCCGTGGAGTAAAAAAGGGAAGCATTATGTATAAATGGAAATGAATGAGGAATGGATGCATAGGAATTAGGAATTAGGAATTAGGTATGTGAAGATGCCTTCGTCATTTAGCCTGATGTTCATGTACACGGGGCACATCCGGCGGGCGTTCACGGGGGCGGGGCTGTTGTCGCAGACGCTGAGAGTGGACGAGGAAACGACGATGCACTTTTGGGGCCCAAAAAGCGAAATGGCGGAAAAGGGTTACCTGGTGCTGATCCACGGGTTTGGGCCTAGCGCGACGTGGCAGTGGCGTCGGCAGGTGAAGTTCCTGGCCCCACACTTCAACGTGTACGTTCCGGACCTAGTGTTCTTCGGAGGCTCCACCACCAAGTCGAGGGAGAGGAGCGAGGTGTTTCAAGCAGAGTCGGTGGGGAAGCTTGTGGACAAATTGGGTGTCCACAAGTTCCACGTGGTGGGCACCAGCTACGGGGGCATCGTCGCTTATAACTTGGCCAAGATCTTGGGGGAAGACAGGGTCCACAAAGTTGTTCTTGCTAGCTCCGGTCTCAACATGACTATTTCTAGCAACGTTCACATGGTGCATGCTGCTCAATTCAACAACATTGAGGAACTCATGCTCCCTAGTACTCCCCAACATCTCCGTAAATTGATGTCCCTCTCCATCCACAAACCTGCCCAAAGGGTCCCCGATTTCATCCTCAAAGACTTCTTAGACGTACGTTACGTAATTAATTCATTCACCTTTAATCTCGTCACTTTCTTCTTTCTTTTTATATATATATATATATATATATCCTTTCCAGGAATTATACGGTGAAAATAGGAAGGAAAAAGTTGAGCTTCTAAACGGGATTACCATCGGAAGGGATCAAACTTCACACATCTCACCTCTTTCCCAGGTATATACATTCATATATATGCATAAATTTACCACATACAATTCAATTCTTATTAATCCTATATATGCTCAGGAGGTTCTTATAGTCTGGGGGGATCAAGACAAAATATTTCCCGTGCAATTAGCCTATGAACTCAAAGAGTATGTTTCTAACTTTTTTCTCTTCTATCTTCCAAATCCAACTCACACCTATTAAATGCTTCTTTTTTAATTTTCATCCAACTTTTATTACATGATTAACTCTATTAATTAGTAAATAAAAGAACACTACTCCTTGTTAACAGATGAAAACCTACATTTGATATTCATTGGTATACAAAAGATATACCATTTATATTTTAGATAGAAGAAGAGAGACGAGGGAGAAAAATTGATGTATGTAATAAATGATTTGATGAAAAAGGAAAAAAATAAAAGTTGAAATGAGATGAAATAAAATGAAAAACAAAGTTAATCACTGATATAAAGCGTTACTAACACAAATTAATATTTCTAATTAACTCATTGCAGGATAATATGTGAAAACGCAAAACTGGAATTGATAAAGGATGCATCACATATGCCTCAAATGGAAAAGCCACGAGAGTTCAACAACATTCTTCTCAAATTCTTGCAGGAGCACTCTTGAGTATTTTTTTTATGAGCATTGTTTGTTGTATATATGCATTAAGAGCATATAGTGTCTGTATCATTATTTTTTTTGAGATGTATATTAAGATGTATATTAATTCAATCCATTTAATAATAATTAACATTCATTAAAAAAATAACATTATTTATGTCATGTTTTCAAATTTTCAACTAATGTTAAATTGTTAATAACAATATGGATCAAACTGACTTGGTAAGTTGGAAAAGTGATTGTAGAATCCAGGGGAAGATTAGTGTATAATTGCCATGACCCGTCACAATTAATAAAAACTAGATATATATTGAATCACGGGATGCGCGGATTCATATATAAATATATAAGATATATTTTTAAAATATTAAAAGTATTTTAAAATTTTTACATGAAATTATAAAATAATAATTTTAAAATATGCATTGAAATAAGAAGAGTATAAAGTTTTTATAAAAGTGTATGAAGCCACTATAATGTCTGAATTGAAATATGGAATATTATTTTATTAATAAAAAAATAATGTAATTGTGATAAATTTAGGATAAAATTTAATCTTTTGTCATTGGTATAAGCGACATAAATTTTTTGTGACATTTTTAAAAAATTATGAGTAAATACCAAAAATGATTTTTTATGTTAATAATTTTTTACATATTTTTTATACCTATCATTTTTTATATATTAAGACAATTTTATAATTAACCTTTATTAATTATAAAAATAGTTTGATTTTGATTAAATCAAACTAGTCTCGGAGTATTGTAAAGAAATAGTTACAAATGAGTCATTGAATTTGCTAAAAGTAGTTATAAAGAAAAAAAATTATAACCAAGAAGTTAAGCACTAGTGATCTTTGACAAAAATAACCTTTGTCCATATTTTATTTATTTTTCGATCAAGTCAGATTAGTTTAAGGTGAAATCTTAGTACACTAATATAAAATAGGCTAAAAACTTATTTTGGTCCCTTATAATAATTGTTTGTTTTAATTTAGTCTCACTTTTATTTTTGGTCTCATTTTTGTCCCTAATAAATTAATTGGTTACAATGTCGGATTTCTGTCCAAATTATTTAAACAGAGTTAACTGTTGGCCACGTGGATGCCACATAGATGCATAACTGGATGCCACGTGGATGCCAGATTTCTTGAAAACACCTGGAACCAGAACGGCCCGTTCTGAAACCAGAACGGCCCGTTCTGAAACCAGAACGAACCGTTCTGGGTGCACTTTTGGTGTGTTAATTTTGCATCTGAAACGAGCCGTTCCAGATGCAAAATTAACACACCACCAGTACATCAGAACAGTTCGTTCTGAAACCAGAACACGGCCCGTTCCAGAACTCAATGAAGATAATAAAATGTTCTTTATTAGATTTATTAAAAAATATAATAATTTTAAAAAATATTTTTTTATGATAAAAAATTTAAAATTACTTATTTTTATAAAATACAATTCTTATAAATAGAGTAATAATTTTTCTTTTTTCTCTTTCTGTCTGAAGAAATATTTAAGTGTCACTTTATAATTTTTTGCAACTTACTTAAAATTAGAAGAATAAAATGATAAAAATTAATAGGATAAACATACTAAAATTATTAATTTATTTTCTTTTAGTGTCCTCTAAATTTTTACATTCATTTAAAACAAAAATATTTTATATGTTAATTAGAATTAATTTAACGAAGTATCATATGATTTTTAATTTTTTAAATTTTTTTATAAATTTGATCTAAAACATTAATTATTAAATAGAATAAGTCTATTAAGACTTACTCTTGAAGTAAGTAAATTTTTTCTTCTTTAAAAATGAAGATAATTTTACCACAAAATAAAAAACAATTAAACAATAAAATAAAATATATAATAAGTAAATTTTTCTTCATTAAAAATGAAGATAATTTTACCACAAAATAAAAAATAATTAAACAATAAAATAAAATATAAAAAATATTAATGTATTTATTATATTAGATATAACAAAATAATTAAAATATAATTAATAATATATGTTTTATAAAATTATTAATATTTTATATATAAAAAAAAAAGAATGAAAAAAATTTTAGTGGGGGCAAGTGCTCCCACTATGATTAACTTAGATCCGTCCCTGCATGTGGTTGTGTGGTGAAATGTTAGTCCTGTGTATTCTCTTCCTTTACTTCTGGTTCTACCTCTTCAAGAACAGGTTGTTATTGTTGGGGTACATCGTTAATGACTTCAAGGAAAAATACCATGTCATTGCATCCTTTACTGTATAGTGTCAATTTGGTAGTAAGTGGTTCACTCCAGTTTGACTAACAATGAAATAAAATCTGCTACCATTGTCTTTAGTGATACACTACATTGTCCTTAATGATACACTGTATAGCCTAACTATTTAACAATTGAAATTATCAATTTTTATTGACAAAATTACCAAATTCAGTGTTTGAAATGCTTTGTACCTTGGGTCTTTTTCCTTCCACGATTCACAACCGTGAATTATAATCATTGATCGTTTGTGTTTAGCAGTCTGGAACCAAAACGACCCGTTCTGAAACCAGAACGGCCCGTTCTAGTTGCACTCTTAGTGTGTTAATTTTGCACCTGGAACAGGCCATTCTAGATGCAAAATTAACACCCCAAGAGTTCACCCAGAACGACACGTTCTGGTTTCAGAACGGGCCGTTATGGTTCCAGGTGTTTTCAAAAAATTTGACATCCACGTGACATCCACCTATGCATTTACGTGGCATCCACGTGGTCAACAATTAACTCCGTTTAAATAATTTGGACAGAAGTCCGACATTGCAACCAATTAATTTATTAGGAATCAAATTGAGACCAAAAATAAAATTGAGACCGAATTGAAACAAACAATTATTATAAAGGGACTAAAATACTATTTTGGCCTATAAAATACAAAATAAAAATAAAAATAGCATTATTTAAATGTTTGATTGGTTTATTAATATCAATTGTTATAACTGTTTTAAAACTTTTTATCATGAGTTTATATATACACATAAGTCTCCATTGGTAAAAGACTTTTTGGGAAGTAATCAAAAATAAAATTATGAGGACTTAAACTCAAAGTGGACAATATCTAAAAAATGTGAAGACAATGTGTGTATGAAAACCCTTTGGGTCAAAGTGGACAATATCTAAAAAATGTGGAGACAATGTGTGTATGAAAACCCTTTGGGGGCACAACATGTGATATAAGAACCAATGGTCAATCAAGTGACATATTCAGTGATGCAAGTACTCAAAGCGTGACTGAACTTTATAGGTCACCATAAGATATATTTGTACACTAGCTTCCATTGTAAAAGACATTAAATCATGATCTTTTGTTTGAAGAAAAAATTGTTGAGATATAATCAAAGTTCTACATTGTTAAAAAACGAGGATGGTCATGAACTTATATGCACACACAATATTCTCATTGGTAAGAGGTTACCATTAAATATATTCGTGAACTAGCTTTCATCTAAAATGGAGTTAAATAATAACCTTTTGTTTGAAGGGATAATTGTTTATATACAATTAAAGTCTCACAATGTCTTCATTGATTAGAGACACCATTAATGAGAGTTAAATCATGATTATTTATTTTAATTTTTTTTTATTAAATTATAATTAATTTATTCTTCAAATAAGATACAATATCTCCTTTGGTGAAAGATTTTTGAAAGATGACAAAAAAAAAAAATCATATGAAATTAGACTAAAAATGAATAGTATCTTCCTATAACATTAAAAATAAATAATGTGTATGAAAACACGGTGAACAACAATAACTAATGATAAAGTGTAAGGAGTAGTGAGAAATGAACTTGTAAGTGCCAACTAGTTAAACTAAACGCACGCAGATGTGTCCTTTCCTGTCTCCTTTGACTGTCCTCTGCTCTGCACCTGCACCTGCACACAGGGAATCGCAATTCTCTCTCATTTCTTTTACTTGTATTGTATTCTTGTTGTTTCTCAACAACACATGATTATGAAATCCTGCATGCCACCAATTACCAATTGGCCTTCGGTCAAAGTAGCTACTCAGTCAGTCATGCAGTTTCAGACTTGGAATCCAGTGCAATGACACTCCAACTTATTCTAACATTTTATCACTATCATTGCTTGGTCTTGGTTAAGATGTTGTTGGAATTGAGACAGGCAGGCGGAGAGAGAAAGAGTTTGTGTGTATTTTATTTTCCCAATAACACATTAAAAAAGTGCCATTGCTGTGCCTCTTCCTGCATTCTTCTGTCTTTTCTAAGCTCAACTTTGACCCAAGAACCCTCACACCTTTCGGCGTTCTTTTCTTTTTTTCTTTATTTTTTAATTTCATCATGTCTATGTTCACTTACGCATTAGTCATACTCCTCCTAACCCATTGGTGTTATCACAATATTATACTCCATTATTATCATTATCTTAAACTAAACAACAATCATTATTCTTACTTACTATACTAGTACGAGTACATGTACAGAACTTGAATACTATATTACTATTTACTATACCATATCTTCTTAATCTTCCTCCACAAAGAAGAACACCAACTAAACTCGTTGCTTTCTAGTTTCGCTTCACACTTCGCACTTAACGTATCCGCCAAATCTAGGGGGATATTCCACCTCCACATCTCTGCAAAAGATACCCTTTTGCTTCTTTTCAGGTAACAACTCTTTCTTCTGTTGCATTCCCAATTTCTCTCTCCCAAGATTCTTTTTTTTTTTTTTTTTTTTTTTTGATGTTGTTGTTGATAATTTTCGGAGGGTGAATTTTGGCTCAAGAGATCTCTGTGTTTGATGTTGCATATGCAGATCGAGATGCGAATATGTTCTCCTTTTTTCTCCACTTTTTGTCTAGTTTTTTAACAGTTGATTTTTTGTACCATTTTCAACTAGATTCTCTTTCTGATGTAAACTTTGATGATGGGGTGGTTGGTTGTACCCTGCATGCTCTTGCTTTTCAGTTTCATGGTACTTCCAACTGCTAAACTTTCATGCTTCGTGCGGAGGGAATTAGCATTCAAAGCATGAAATAATTACCTGAAAAACAATAGAAAAGGACCATTGTTGCCCCTATAAATCAATTGATTACTTAATGATTCATTGTTTCTGCTCCATGCCCGAAATTTTAGTAATTCTTTGTAACAGTCACGGGCATCTTAATTATATATCCTCGAAACTGCGGTATCTCTATCCTTAACTTTGTATCTGGAGATGGGGTTTAGCTATTTGATGAAAATCGAGTTTTAGGTATGTAACCAAGCAATTTCTCACCCAAAATATAATAAATAAATAAATTAAAGTTGCAGGTGATGGCCACATCGTTTCCCATATGCGAGGAGTGGAATATTCCAATGTTTGTTAATCTAGCATTTTTGCTGAATAACTTGCTCAGAATAATCATTAACTTCAGATCTGATGTGGGCCGGAAACTACTCTGGCTAAAGAGTCAATTCAGAGTTTGTTTCAACCTACTCCTGCTATTCAGCTGTGCCCTTGAGTCTTTTTTTGATTTATTCAGTTGTCTTATTCTAAGGATTGAGAACCTATTGTTTGCATATATTATTGCAAGTTGCATGAAGTATTTGCGCATGGTTGACTTGAACTTGAGATATTCCTTTCAGGTGTTTGTTTCCTCTGCTCAAGTCCATAGAGGGTGTGTTTGAGTAAACACCTTAATTAATTAAATGTTTCAATATGCTCTTGTCAAATTAACACTTGTTTATAAGCCTGACTGAGAAGCCTAGTGCACAATTAGTTGCATGAAGTATTACCATGAAGCTTATTTTAAATAGTTTTACCATAATAAGCTACTCCCATAAGTCCAGATAAGCTTTTCTAAAATGCCTCCTAATGCATGTATGCATTAAAGGTGTGCATTGAGACACTGATTTCAGGTGGAGCTTGACTAGTGCATCTTCTATTGTACTTTTTGTAACAGAATATGGGCTTAGTCTGCAGCAGAAATCGCCAATATCGTGATGCTGATGCTGAAGAAAATGCTCAGGTCTTTTGTGCTTGATGAATTGTGTAAATTGTTAAATGACAAATAAAACTGTTAAATAGGCATCAATTTGATGAATGTGGCATGCCGCATTTGCAGGATGCAGAAATTGGAAGGAGAATTGAGTTAGAAACAAAGGCTGAAAAGCATATTCAGAAACTTCTGCTACTAGGTGTGTTTTACTAGTTTTGGCTTTCCTTATTTGTATATAGCAATTTATAGAAATATTTTGAATTTAGCATGAATGCATAATGTGGTTATACTCCCCCGAGTTTTAAGGTATGATATGTGCCACAATCTCTTAAGTTTTTTCTTTTCTGTACTTATCTGTGTAAGTGTCAATGTCAACGTTGTTTAGGTTCTGGAGAGTCTGGGAAGTCTACAATCTTTAAGCAGGCAAGAAATTGTATCTTTTCAACTGCTTATGAAAGTATATGATTGATAGATTATTGATATTTATTTATTTGTTGATAATATGCAGATAAAACTCTTGTTTCAAACTGGCTTTGACGAGGCTGAGCTAAAAAGCTACATACCAGTCATTCATGCTAATGTGTATCAGACAATAAAAGTACGCAATACTTGAAAGGGTGTGTTAATTATTTTTCTCTTAAAAATACAGAGTTAAAGTGTCCACTGTTTAAAGTTTTTAAAAAATGTTTCTTGTGAGTTGAGTTTAACAGAGCTAGCTTAGAAAACTGTAATCCTTAATTTGTACATGATGTGCTTAAACAGATACTGCATGATGGGTCAAAAGAGTTGGCGCAGAATCATGTTGATTCTTCAAAGTATGTGATATCTAACGAAAACCAGGTAGTTCATTGTTATCGCCTCTTATATTTCCAAATATGGTTGCTTAAGTAGTTTATGGCCTGGTATGTTGTTACTAAGTTTTTTTTTATAAAGAACTATATAGTGATCAATTGTGTTTAGGCTTCTTTCATCTGGAGGGGTCTGTTGCTCTGTCAAAGTTATATGCCAAAGGCTACTGAATTCAAATAGAAATTATTTTTTCTGGTAGGACATTGGTGAAAAGCTCTCAGAAATTGGTGGTAGGCTAGATTATCCGCGTCTTACCAAGGAGCTTGCACAGGAAATAGAGACTCTGTGGGAGGATGCTGCAGTTCAGGTGGCCAGATTGCACCCTTGTGATTGCTTTACCTTAATCCATACACAGTTACTTTTTGTCACCAGTTATTTAGTATGTATGTCTCATATGTTCTACTTGCTGTAGGAAACATATGCCCGTGGCAATGAACTCCAAGTTCCAGATTGTGCCCATTATTTCATGGGAAATTTGGAGAGGCTGTCTGAAGCAAATTATGTTCCCACAAAGGTGTCCAAAATCTACCATTTTATTTCATTGTTTACAAAGATACAAAAGCTAACTCCGAATTTCTGTTTCATTTGCCCCTTTATATTATGAACCTAAATTTTTTGTTCCAGAGGGTGTTCAGGTGTTGTATTTTGGATTTTCTATTTGTTTCAATTGCGAGTATAAAAATTGTTTTCTACATGCATTTTTATTTTGTTAGTTTTCATCAAAACAAATGTTGAAAAAACTAATGGCTATTTACTGAGGTTGTGCTAGTGTGATTTTTTAGAAAATAAATAAATCAAGTGATCGTATGATTCATTATTTATCTCAAACAATTAGTGGTTTGTAATTCTACACTGAATGGCCTTGCTGTTCTTTACTTCTGTTTATCTATACATCAACTTATTTTCTAGAATTTACCAGCATCAGCATATTTATGTTGTGAATTGTGATATTATATGCTAAGTCAGCACATCAAATACGCAATTTGTTGTTAGAAGTTCACCGTGTTTCTGCTTCGGTTTTGATTTATGGACCCTCAAATTTGAAGGTGATGTATGCTTTAAATCTCAATATATTCTCACTATTTGACAACTACAGGAGGATGTTTTGTATGCAAGAGTTCGTACAACTGGTGTTGTTGAGATCCAGTTCAGGTGAATATGCTGAGCTGACATGATTTTTTGTACTGAAATGATATGATACAGAATGTTTTTATTTATTTTTTGTCCTTAATCAATTTAAAATGGAGAAATGTCTTTCGTTTTTTTTTGGTTGGGGGGGGGGGGGGGGGGG